CCTGCCGGTGCCCGCCCCCTGCCGGTGCCCGGCGGCGCAGCAGCCACGGGGGCCCCGGCCCCGGCAGGGAGGGGCAGGGCCGAGTAGGGCGCGGCAGGGCCGGGCCTCGTCAGCCGGGCCCGCCTCAGCACCGAGGCAAAGGCGGAGCAAAGGCTGGTCGATGCCTTCCCGCTTCGGGCAGTCGGCCGGGAAAGAGCTGGCCCGAGGCTGGGCCTTTCCCACGGCCGCAGGGCAGCGGGCAGAGCTTTTGGCTTCCCTGTGCAGTGTTAAGCAGCACGAGGGCCCGGGCAGGAGCAGCTCCCACGGGCGCGGGCCGGTGGAACCGCGCTCCTTCCAGGCAGCCACTGGGCTCCCGAGCGGCCATCCTGGCTTCCCTGCCCTCATCTGCCTAAAAGAAGGGATTAGCAGCAGCCAGACAACAGCTTGGAAACTGCCTTGTCCTCTTGATAGCCACACACTACTCGTACGAAACGTGGGACGCGGTCCCAGGAGTACCTTGGATTTAAAGCCAAGCCTTCCCCAGGTGGGGACAGACGCGTGGATCGGTGACCTCTCCCCAGGATGAGGGAGATGCCATAGTCTGGCTGCATGTGAAGAGCCCAGCAGCTGAACCCTGTCCTCAGAGGAGCTGTGGGCTGTGACACCTCTCACTGTAGCTTTTCAGGCTGTAGCTTTATTCAGGAGGTGAGCACACACTCAGACACCTGTGGGGTCAGTGCCCAGCCAGCCTTATAATGCTTGAAAGCTCAGTGACACTAAATAGCACAAAATAGAAGAACTTTCAACAGGAAGGCCCTGAATCCTTCCTTCTCACTGGAAATCTGGATGTAAGGATCACGCTGTATCCGTAATACGTTCTTAGGATTGTCGGATGTTCTCAGCTCAGTATAATTTGTTATTTCCCATTGCAGGAATAATATTCACACTCATTTGCAATCAAAGAAAAGGCTGACAGTGAAACAAATAGCTGATGTGATACAGGAGGTTAAACCAGGGAACTGGAATGCTTCCTCTGAGCCTAGATTTCTACATTCTTACAACCCAAGTAATCCATATATATAAATCCATATGTATAAAACCATATGTTCTATGTTAACATGTGCCTGAAAGGGCTTGTCTTCATGATGTGTCTATAATCTGCTAAAAAAGGATTTGGCTCATTAGTATGCACCCATATTAAAATGCTGATTTGTTTCTCTAGACAGATTGCCACACAAGGTAGAGCAAACTGCACTGGCATGGGAATACACACATAGCTGCTAAAAGTTACTCTGTTTAATTTTATTTTTGACACTTTAAGATCTAGACTGCAGTGCATGTCCCTGGTTAAAGCAAACAGCATTAGGAGATGGAGTGGGGGGAGTCCTGCCTCCTTTCACGCGTTGCTCGGAGGTGCTACAGCTTTGTAGCTCCTAAATAGCTCTTCCAGCACATAGGCAGTGGAGCACTGGGGGACCTGTGGCTGGGCATAGTGATCACAACTGCTGTTCCTTTTCTCTGGCTGAAATCCACCCATTCCTCACACTGCCATCCTCTGCATGGTGCGTGGGCATGATTTAATTACTTGTCAGACATTTCTGCAGTTTCTTCTGCAGCTCATTTTTATTATTTCGTGATTTGACTATTAGCTGAAGAGTAAGTGTTCCCACATGGCCTGTTTAGGATGTGTGAAGCAATTTATATGAAATAAGGCTGTTAAATACTTGTGTTCTTTTTTATTTCAGTTTTTGTGCATTTCTTTTAAGACTCTCGAGTCAACATTTCTCTGAACCGAAGTGGAAATGCTAAAATAGCCTAGGAATTTTTTTAGAAAATAAGTAACCAAGTATTTTATTTCGGAAATGAACCTGTTATGGGTGAAAGAAAAGGATCAAATGTACACCAGGATGCTAAGTGTTTGTGTATGGGGTTTTTATAGCTATGTGTTCACATAAATACTGAATTAATCCAAGAACTGTTGCCATTTCTGTCAGGCATTACCCATTTGGTATTGATGGACCTTCAGTCCCTCGACCTTACTATGGCTCTTTTTTAAAAGCAAGTCTGGCAATAGCCACAAGCTGAGATGGCCGAGTGGCCAAGAGGGCCAAGACATCCAGGTTGAAGACATCCTCTGTGTGAGGTACGAGGAAGGAAGTTTTCTGTGCCATTCTCTTGGTCTTCTGTTGGCACGGCTCTCTTTTGAAAACGAAACGAGCTGTAGCCACTAGATGGCTGTATTCAGCAACAAAAGGCCACACGTGCCTTCTGCTATAACCCCTATTAAGGCTGCAGTATCATTTTCTATAAAATAAATTAGTCTTTTCATGGTAAAATTAATGTGGACAGGCCAAAGAGGCAGGACAACCCACCCTGACGAAGTTCTTCACAAAACCAGCTGGAGCAGGACAGCTTGGACAGCGTGGAGCTTGAGCATGTAGGTCCTGAGCTGTCCCCTAATGCTAGACCCAGCCTGATTCTAACAGAGGCAAGGATGACATTTCCTGCCAGAACAAAGGGGAGACACCCCTGACCCAGTCTGAGATGCTGCTAGAAATCCCAGATGTGGAGCACCGGTCTGTCAGTGGCTATGCCAGCCATGCTTCTGGATGGCAGAGGAAGAGTAATGCAAAAGTATGATATCTCTGCCCCTTCCCACAAAGAAGTCCTTGGATGCCAAAAGAAGGCTGTGGTGGGTTAATGTTGGCTAACAGCCAAATACCCACCCAGCTGCTCACTCCCTCCTTCCTCCCCTCTTTCTCCTGTAGGACACAGGGAGAAAATAGAATGAGAAAGATCATGGGCCAGGATAGAGACAGGGACAGTGCTTTCCAATTGCTGTTCTGGGCAAAACAGACTACTTAAGGGAAAATCAGTGCCATTTATTGCCAACTAAAATAGTGAAAACAAAAAGAAGAACGTTAAAACAACACCCTTCATGTCCACTTCTCCAGTCTCAACTCCCTCAATCCAGACTCTTCTACCCACTCCAAATGATGCAGAGTGGCAGGGGTGGATATGATCAGTACAGAGTGGTTTCTGTCTGCTGGTCCTTCCTCCTCACACTTCCTCTGCTCCACTGATTTGTCCATGAACTGCAGTTGCTGTCAGGAAAAAAATCTGTTTTGATGTGGGCTCTCTATCTACAAGCTGCAGTCCTTCAGGAATATTCATGTTCTCTAGTGTGCATGTCCATAAGCTGCTGGCCAGCTGCATGGGCTCCCTTATGGAGCTCAAGTATTCCACCTCTGCCCCCTTTCTCTGACCCTCATGTTCCCTCTGCTTCTTCTCCCTCATTTTGCCTCCTCCTTAGTCTCTACTCCCTCTAGAAATCATGGAAAAGAAATACCTAGTCTGTCTACTTGTTATTGAACCTTCTGTTAATGACAGCTGTGAAGGACCTGCCCTTGGGTGCACTGGAAAGGGTTCACAACATTTCTACAGCCTTGGGAGCAGCCTGGGCACATCTGGAATTTCTTCAGTGCCTCTGCAAGGGTGTGCAGAAGTTGTACTCTGCCCTATTTGAAAATGTTGATCCATTCCATAAGGGAAATAAAACATGCAGAATAAGTAATAAACATTGCATATTAATCATTGGCTTTTTTCTATTACAATTTAAAAACCAAATTCTTATGTTAAAAATCTTAGAGAAAGAAAATTTAAAATTACTAAGAGAGGCTGAAGAATTTCTTCCACAAAAGATTTTGAATTTTTTTTTATTGAATATTGAACTTGCCACCAAAGAACTCTATATAATTGATAAAAATTCAGTAGAAGAAATCTAGGTCTGCAATTACTCTAGCTCAGATTCACACAGAAATTTCAATTTAACAAAAATCTGTAGTTTCAGTGTTATTTGTTTTAAGTGAGAATTTTAAGCAGATCATCTGATTATGTCATGAGTTTCTCACTTCCTGTGAAACAGTATTTTGGCAGAACTGTCATGGTATTGTGAATATTGCTTTGATATCATTGCTTCTTTTTAATTCTGAAGTGTTGTGTTATGTTTTTTTTCAGCCACTTTGTATGCTATTTACTTTTCTAATGCATTTTCTTCCTGACTACCTGCTTTTTAGAACTGTTGTGATACCCAGGCTGATTTCACAAGCAGAATATGGAAATCTGGCCTCACAGACAGATGAGGAAAATCCGTCATTGACTTCAGTATGGCAAGTTTTTTCCATCTATGATTCCTTGACCTGTCTCATTCTTGGTCAGACAACTAAATTACTTGTTTTAAGGATTTTTTTTTCCCTTGTAAAACAGCTGTTTTATTTCTACATAGATTAGAAAAATATGACTAAGGGGTTTTTTTTGTTGTTGTTTTTCTTTAATAGAAAATCCTTAACAGTTCCTTGTATATTTAAAATGTGAAAACTGTGGGTTCATCTTAGAAAAGGAGCCAAAGTTTAAGCCAGTTCTGTCTGAGCTGAAGCAATGCTGCATCCCAGTTGTCAAGCATTGAGATGAGTGACCAGTGATAGGAAATTTTTGCTTTTTTATCTGTGTCTGATAAAATCTTTAAATTAGGTTCCTATTTCCTAACATAAAACAGTGACATGTAAGCAGTAAGCACATCACAGGGTTAATCACTGGGGTTTTCTGGAAGAATAATGTGGACCACAAACCTTCTCTGCCCAGCAAGGTTGAGCTGCAGAGTGGGAACTCTGATTTGTGCTGCCAGGGTTAAGAAGAAACAGTGATGGAGAATGGCAGGCAGGCCAGGCAATAGCTACTGAAATAACTGTCCCACAGACAGGGATTGGTGTATCTTGTTGACCACGACAATTGTCTTCAAAATCTTGTCACAAATTCCCTGATGAAGACAACCTTCTGCTACACCTTTTCTCACCTTTCTCTCACCAGTAGTGAGATGAATCTACATTACTAGCTACAATATTCAAAATAAAACTACTAAGGTCAGCTGAAAGTGTCAATAATGAGATTTTTCTGAGGGTGAAGTAGTTTAATCAAAGTTTAACCTTCATCTTAGTCTTTCAGTAAAAACAAGACTCTTTCTCCAGGGTGTATCATCTAAACTGGCAACTACAAATTTATTTACAGAACTTAATCAAAATTGTGCAAAACTCTTTCAAACATTTATCAATGTCATGCCAATATAAATCAGAATAAATTTCAAAGTATGCAAATAAAATGTTACACAAGCATACTCTAGAGACTTTTCTTACCCCAAGTGGTGATTTATTAATTAACTTTTTGTCCATTTCTGTCAATTGCCAGTAAGAGTCCTAAGTTCTGTCTGTTGTTTCTAGTAACAGGAGCAAGACTCATGCAAATTTGGAGATAACACATAGTTGCAGCCTTCTAAAATGGGGAAATGACGGATTTCTTAACAAGCTGTCAAACTAATCTTGCATCTGTTTAGTCAGTCCTGGATGAAACTGCCCATTGTGATGCCAAATAGAAAGTGAGTTGTGATTATGAGCCTCCCTTTAGTGCTTGTCAGCTATGAGTCTGTTTCTGGCCATCTCCTTCTCTTATAGAAACATCGTACCTTCAAGAGGTGGGAGTGATTTTTGTTTGCTGCACCAGCACTAGAAGATGGGAGGGGGTGTGCATATATAATAGACATTTGTATAGAATATCTTAAACACCTGATCTAGTGTATGAAAATGTTATGCAGATCAGTGTTACTGGGAATGCTATTTAAAAAAAACACCAACAATTGAAGCATTGACAGGTTTAATGACTTGTCTAGGTTATATAAGAAAATTGTGGGAGAATTAAAAACTGCCACACATCCTCCCAAACTCACAAAATCATCTTACTCACAGACAGGCCTCTAGAAAGGATTCATCTAAATGCTATATTCCTTGGAAACTAAACTCCAATGCTTATTTCCTCTCTCCATAAAATGAATAATTTGTTCACCTTTTCCTTCTTTCTCTCTGTGGCTTAAAGTTAAAGGGGCCACAGCAGCTGCAGCATGGTTCTTCTGGGTACATACTGCTTGTTCTGCATTGCTTTAGCAGCTGTCATCAATACCCATCAGCAAATGTTCATATGAAGTTATTATTATCTTGTTAAAAATATGACACATAACCTCAAGGATGAACACTGATGAAAAAGCAAGCTGTCAGATACTGATTCAAAAGGCTCAGGACTGCTCATCTGGAACTAAGGGTGCCACAAGGTCAAGTACTTCCCCTTATTCAACCACACACAATACCCCTGTATTGTGCTGCTCTGTATTTGTAGTTTTAAGCATTTACTATCTTTGGTATTGGATTGTTCCACCAGCAATCAAGGTTTGAAGTGAAGGGGAAGCTTTTTTGGAAAGCTTGTGGTCTTAATCCAGGCTTGCTTCTTGAAACTAGATTTTAAGGATGGCAGTGTAAGACTTCAAGCTGCAAGTAAGGCTAGGTCAGTTTCTGCATAGTTTTCTGAAAGTGGGTGAAGGTAACACCTTCCTAAGGAAAAGAATGTCAAGCTGTAAAACTGCAGGCAGAGAGGCAGAGTGTAGCTGTGGGGTTTTCTAGGGCCTTCTTTATGGAAGAATTGAAGTGTGTTGACAAGCAACATCTTACCTGGCTTGTGATACCCCTTGGGACAGTAAAAGTATTAGTGGCCCTTTGGGTCATTTCCAGTCTCAACACTGAAATTTGCATGAAATTTAAGAAGAGATTCCTCTCTGGTCTTCTCTTTTTGTTGTTTTAATCAATGAATGAGGATGCTTAGGTAAATGTTCCTTCCTTTGCTGCGCTGGTAACCCAGCCCTCAGAGTGATGGGTTTGAGCCTGAGGATTTCCAAGTGGCTCTGCTCAATGGGAAAGCTGTCACTGACTGTCTGCCTCCTTCAAGCTGACCACAGTGCAGTCTGTAAATTAAGTGCTTGGGGAAGTATGGGTTGTTTACCTGAATCATATAGAGTGTATCATCCCTCTTTTTTTTTGCATTTAGAAAGAAACATGGGTAAAATTTCTCATGAAGCTCTGACGATGAAGCTGTACCCTCTTTGCTGTATCTTGCTCATTGCTGTGGTATGTGAATATTTTATTGAGCTCGATAATGCATGGATTAATATCATGTTTTATTGAGCTCTATAATGCACTATACTACTGGAGCCTGTGATATTTTCCTCTCCTTTCAGCAGATACTGGAAAGACATGGAGAACTTTATTGAAGAGGGAGGAAACATTTACAAACAGTAGCTATGTTACTTCTCAAGCCAGGAAAAACAAAAACAAAACAAAAAAAACCCCACCAAAAAAACCCCAACAAAAACCAGAAAAAAACATATTTAAATGTCAGGAAGTGGTTCTTAAGGGAATAATTCTCCCAAGGACTTGTGCCACTTTTAGCCTTGACCATGTAAGCAGAGCACAGCAGCTCTCGAAGGACACGTGTGGGGCACTGGCTCCATGGGGCACGTGGAAACACGCTGCACAGTCTGAGTGAAGAGGGAGAGATGGCACCTGCATGCCTCAGGGGAGGGGATACCTCAGAAAAGGTAGGTATAGAAAGGGTTACAGACGACTAGATTGTTTCTCTTGGAAGTCTAGAGAATTACTTCTTTTGTTGCCCATTATGTAGCAAAGTCCCCTGTTTTTTTACGATTAGAAATAAAACCTCGTCTTGTGCCAGAGCAGCTGCAGTGCTGGGTGTTCTGGCTAGCAAGGGACAAGGTGAAGTACACTCACATCACGTTCTCTGAAGCACAGAGCAGCGGGGCAGTGCGAGAAGCAGCCCTGCCTTACCCAGCTGAGATGGAGCCCCTTCTGCCTGTCCCATGTGGGGCGAGGGAATGGATGAAGCCCACCTGGAGCCAGCCTTTCCGGGGGCCTTTGCATGGCTCTTCCCAGAAGACAAGCATGCCTTCGGCCCTTTCCACTGAAAAGAAGCCCTGGGGAGAAGTACCAATGGCTCAGCGCAAAGCAAAAGATCGGGTGTGCTCCCAAGCGCGTGGTGAAAAAAAGATACAGCTGGGTAGGCTGCTAATCCCTTGGTGGAAACATTCTTAATTATGCAACAGGCAGCCTTAAATAACCTCCTAGAACAAGGGCAAACGCTTCTTCCCTTTTGATGCCACACCTTCTTAAAGAGGGAGAGAAGCGCTGAGATGCAGTAGAGACGGGCAGCCGCTGTGAAGCGCTGCGGGCTTCCCAGGGCGGCTGCGGAGCGCGGGGTGCCCCAGCAAGGATTGGTGCTGGAAAGGCGGTGTTTGGGACAGGGCAAAGGGCTCATTTGCAGAGGGGAAGATGAAAGGCGGCAGGCAGGCCAGCTGCTGGCCAAGCGGGCAGGAGAAGGCTGTGACAAGCAAGGGGAAGGCAAAAAAAGATAAGGCTAAAAGAGGAACTAGGAAGGAGAACCTGCCCACTAGGAAACTTATTTTAGCTGCCAGTATGACAACTCTCACTGCACGACAGCAGCTGTGCCGACCACGGGCACTGCCCTGATGCCTGAGCCGAGTCACCCGGCACAGTCTCTGCCACTGGAAAGCACCATCAGGGACACATGGTGATGCCAGAGCAGACGGGAGACCGTGCACACAGCAAAGCTCTGGGGCTCCACCAGCCCCTGGAAGACAGTGGAACAGTGGGAACTGAAGGCATCATTGAGGACACCAGATGAGTGTGCAGGATGTGCTGCTCCAGCCTGCTTCCTGTTTGACATCTTCTGGCCACAATCACTTTTGAAATGTATGAAAGTACCTGTGACGCTTTGAAAAAATATGACAATATTTTCATGTTGCTTTGAGAGATGTGGCTGGAGATAACAGTGTATCTAAAACAACTCATCATGAACTGAACTAAAAAATAATTGAGACTTATGTATGAGTGTTTCCACCTAAGGTACACAGAACTGTGAAAAGTACTTAGATAAAGTGTCTGAAGAACTAGAACTACTTTCACATGGGAAAGGAAGAGGTTGAATGAACCATTAAATACTTCCAACTTAGATTTTCAGTAGAGAGACTTTAAGGAGGAAAGATATCACCTAAATTTTGCAGAATTTATTTTTAAAACATCAGTCTGTGGAAATTCTAGACTCTGGACAAAAGAAAGCGAAGTGACAGAAACCAGAATAAACCACGCAGTCTAACAAAAAGCTGCACAATCTACTAAACCCTATCTTGTGATGACAAACCATGTGAAATCTGTGCAGATAAGCCATCACCAGTGGCTAGATTCCCCTGTGTCTTACTGAGAAGAGGTGGGGAGGGATATGCATAATTAATACCCAGGGGAAAAGTAGGGAACATCTGGTGAAGTAATCCCCATTACACTCAAGTGGGTATTGATCAAATGAAATAAAATATGCTTTTGTAGCAATATTTCTCTGGAGAGAGTCCAAGCAAAGTAGCAGGGGAGCTGAGATGTGGCCTGTTGGAACATCGTCCCACCCATTGCTTCATGCCTGGAGGGGCAGAGGAGGTGGGACAGGGGGAGATCTGCTGAGAGGGGTCCATGTACTGCAATGCTGATGGGTATGAAGGCAGACTCATACAGTATGAGTATTTAAGGGTAAATTTTTTAATTAAGATTTTCACATGGTCTTTGATTAAGATAGAAGAGGACTAATGTGAATATTTGAAGACTGGAAAAAAATCACCTGCAAGAGAAGTTTCTGGGTGTGGTGTGACTTATCTTTTCCTGTTTCTCACTGTTATTCAGTGAGATGATGGCTTTGTAATTGAAATAATCTTGACATGATAAACTTAGTTCTGGTGACAAGATAAATAATGGTGTAAGCAAGACCTCATTTTCCTGTTACTGGTTTCTTTGGTTAAGTAACTTACGTTAGTTATGGAGGAAGGCAAGGTACAATGCAAATATACCCTGTCCTCTTATCCAGCCTTTCAGTAATATTGTATTGTGCCAGGCAAGGACTTAAGGTTTTTGACATTGACGTTATGTACAATGGTGTTGGAAAAACCTTGTGTTGCTTTGACAGAGATAACTTTACAATGATAATCTGCAGTCTGAAAAAAACTCCAAAAAACAGCATAGCAACAAAATGGTCTGCTTTCTCTTTCTTCACCCTGAACAGAATTTTTCAGGAAAAATTACTGCTGCAAAATGTTGCCTCTTAAATCTGCAATTACAGTTCTCTTGAAATTTCAAGGCCTGGAATTATTTAGCGCACAGATACCTTGATTCAGTTGCTGTGAGCAAGGCAAAGAAAGAGCTCTGCACCTTGGTCTGCCCGAAGTGACTGGTGCAGTGTAAATGTGTCCATCCACATTCATGCCTCCAGCTCTCTACACAATCTTTTTGAAAAGAGATGAATGGATGAACCAGACTTTAATGGCAAAAAAGCTTGTCTATTTGTGGATGACTGGGGCAATGTCAGTGGTTAGAAACTAAGATCTAACTCATGCTTCACTGCACATTTTGGATTGGGGCGGATGGCTGTGTTGGGCAGGAGAAACATTGCTGAGGTGTTCCTTCCTCCCATGCTGGAAACACACTTGTTTGGGGACTTTCTGAGACATATGCTTTTAAAATTCACAGAAAATGTGACAAAACCTAAAAAAAACCCCAGCAGATTCAGCCAAGACTGTGTTTAAGGAAGCAGCAAAGAGACTTCAAGAGGTTTTGTCATGTACCTTAAAGACCCTGGGCTGTTATTTTGTGTGATATGAGGGGAACTGATGGGAGCTTCATTGAACTTGGGGTAAAAATAGGATTCAATGAGCTGACTTTCCCAGTTTTGTATATTGCTTTGACCCCAAGGGGAATGCTCTGGCTCTTGCACTCAGGGATCACTCAGGGTATTACAGGTATGGATGCCCTGACCTGCCTGAGTACCCTGCCAGGAAATGCCTCAACTTACAAACATAGGGACTTCATAGTAAAGTGGCAGTGCTGGTGTCTGCTGGCATACAAAATGCATGAAGATGAGTTAAAAATGGAAGTCCTGCTTAGAAGGACCTCCTGCTTCCTGGATGAGGAAGTTCCTCACATGGAAAAAGGTGAGGTGACCGGGTGCCAGGTGCACAGAGGTGTGCTGTGCTCTCCCAGCACCACCACACTGCCCAAACAGCTGGGCGCTTGTATGGACCCCCAGCTGGTTCACCCAGATTCTGCCCAGCACTCTGGCTTGAGTCAATATGTGCTGTTGTTGTAACTAACTCTTTTTATGCAGGCAGTATGGTAATCTCCTGTGGTCACAAGTGGGAAACCCCCTCTTTGCATACCACCTTGTAAAAGCACCTCTCATGACTCTCCCCAGAACAGAGCCTCCAAAGGGGAAGATTCCTCTTCAGACCTATCAGGCATGAATGTGATGAAGGAAAATGTTCCTGAGGTATCCTTAGTCCTCCATGCTGCAAATTAAAGTTCTTGGAGCTGAGAATAACAGGGAACTCCAAAAGGATGTTTCTCTTGAGTTAAAGTCTTAACAGACTTCCCTTGGATTATGTCCAAGGCCAGCTCCAACACCAGCCCACCACTGAGTGGGGCTAGGGTGTGTTTCTTTCCCAGAGAAAGAAATATCCCCTATAAAAAAAGGGGTTTTCTTTTCTCTTCTGGGGATGGGCTTTCCTACGCTCTGTCTAGGTGAGCTGCCACGTATCTCACCTGCTCTATGGCAGCACCATGCCTGGGATCCTGACAGGAAGGGCTGCTGATGGGACTCATGACATTTGAACACAGCCTGAATCTGGGCTGAGCTCACAAAGAGTCTGTGCTGGACAAGGGGAACCTAGCCACCTGCCTCAGCATTCAGCAAGCATATAGACAAGTGTAGGTGTAGCCATACTGAATTCTAGTCACCACAGAGCACCCCATAGCATAGTGGCTGATGCTTATTGCTCTACTAAAATTGTCATACTTTATTTATTTTAATTAGAAAAATAAAAATATTTAATTTCTTCTTAAGCTTTTTTTTTTTTTTTTTCTCATTCTGCATATAAGATAATCCAGTAACTATTTAATTCTCACTTACATGGCACTTTTTCTTCTGGTAGCAAATATACTTTACGTTCTTTACTTGTGTTTCTATTAAATCTTAGTACTTTTTTTTAATTAATGCTGTGTTCTTAAAAATTTGCAGTGATCTGATGGAGGAAACTAACATCACAACATTTTCTCATATTGTGCTTGCAGTTCATTTACCCCTGGTACAACACAGCAATTGTGTAGAATTAAAAATAAAGAGCATCACATTTTCCAGACTGAAGGAGCAAAATGTCTTCCCCTCAGCTGTGCTGGAGCAGCTCAGCAGAGGAGTTGCGTGGAGGGTGCAGACATGTAGGAGTAGGGAACTTTTCCATTGCCACATAATGCCAAAACTTGACAGTTGAACCCTAAGCAGCACCCTGTGTGTCATCCATTTGTTCTTTTGACATCTGACTTGTTTACAGCATGAAGATGTCTCTCCCACATATGGGGATTGAAACTCCCTGAAGTCTAACTTCAGATGCCAAGAGATAGGGTGGTTTACACCTTTTCCACTGAGATAGGTAAAAAAATTTTCCCTAGTATGAAACTTTTTCAAGGGTTTGATTTTGCTTGTTTTTCTTGTGGATTAGATAGGTACACTGGGTATACTGAAGATTAATGACACTGGAGAGCATTTATACTGTAGGTGATCTCCCTACGTAAATTTTTGTCTGAAGTCAAAACTTCTTACAGCTCAGAACTGAAGGTCGATGGACTGCGTAAAATGATTAAACCTTTTCAATGAATTCTTCTTTATCAGAACATGAATATTAGTACAAGGATGACTTTAGGAACATTTTGTATATCTTCCCAAATCTGAATTGTGCCTGCACCACATGGAGGGAAATGTAAAAGCAAGAAAGGATTTTTATAATCAAATTAATATCAGTCATTGTCCTTTAGAGATAATAAAATTCTAAGCATAGGACAAAATGTTCAGCAAACATCTTGATTCTGTATCTAACATTTCCCTTAAATGAAAATATAATGGAAATTATTGTTCATATGTGGTACAAGTAAATAACATCCCTTCTTCTTGAATGCAACTTACACCCACAAGTCCTACAAGAATTGCTTGAAGAAGAAGAAAACAGCCAGTGTCATTCCATGTTAATTATTAGAAAAAAAAAATTCTTTAATAAACTGATTCCATGCTTTGCTGGTGTCAATTTCTGGCCTGGTTCATAAAAGCAAATGCATAGACTTTTGTGAGGAATTTGTTTTGGTGTTGTAGAATTCTTGCACAGAAATATCTAGAAACTCTTGCTGGTAAAAAACCCCATGCCCATTAAACTGAGAACTGATACCCTGGCATAATTAGTAATATGTTTGCCATAAGAAATCTTTACCACATGATTTCTTCAGTTATTTTCTGCAGAGATCAGTGCCAGATTTGATCTCATTCTACATTTTCATCTCTGTCCAGGAAGGAAATATCAAGTCATTACTTGATATTTTTGGTACAAACCAAAGATCCCAAGAAACTGGGAAAAAACTAAATATGAATGAGGAAGAGGAGTCAGACAGCATAAAATAGCTGGATTAGCAAACTAGACCTGCTGAAACAAATGCACTTTAGTACAGGAAAGTACAAAGTGGGGTATTACATCCTGAGAGCAACAAAGAGAATTGGGGGCACAGTGAGAAAATAGCACAATATGAGCTTACAGTTTTACAGGGGTAAAACTGTTTAGGGAAGTCCTGGTAAGCTAACAGAAAAAGTGTTTCTTGCCCCTGTATTTCTCATTGCTGAATTTATTTTTTTTTTCCCCCATGCTTAGAATTTAGTAATTCTAAAACTTTTAACTGTTTCTTGATAGGTCTCACTAAAATCACAATTTTATCTTTATTAAGAATATTTTCCCACTACAAAGAGGGTGTTTATCCCTTGATTATGTCAGTAAGTCAAAACAGAAACAGATAAAAGCCAGCTAGATGAACTTCTCACTTCACTTCCTTGTTCATGCCACAGTGGTTTATTCTCATCTCCCTTGATAACCTTGAAAACCTCAGAGTAAACAAGTGGGTCCTCTATTTGCCCCAATTTATAACATTAATCACCGTGTAAGCCGGATACAAATTCCCTGGTACATCTCAACTGTATTATGATTCAAATAAGCTGAACACTGATCTGCAGCCAGCTGCAAGTGGTGTACAGAAAATTGTGACTCAGTACTTTTCCTTGTTGTTTGAAAAAAATTCAGATTTTTGTTTTTTCAGAGAAGAAACCGATAATGGAGCCAGGTAAATTTTTGATGCAATTCCATTAACTACAGAGGAAAACTCTATTTTCTTGAATGCATTATTAATGCACATAGAGGATATACTGGTTTTGACAACTGCCTTGCCATTAACACTTATTCCAAACAGCCCTGTCCTGAATACACCTTCATTTGGTCTGATTTTCTACAATGACAACATGTTTGCCCTGAACTAGGAATTTTTTTGAGAATTCAAATACATTTCTAGAACACTGTGAAAATAACCAAGGGAATGGTAATAAAACAATGGTAATGAATAGTAATTCATTAATATTTAGGTGTTGTCCAGTTCAGAGACATGCATGTGGTTTCACATGCTCCCTTTGGACAAATTTAATTTTGATTCCTCTATATCTCATGGAGTACCTGAAAGAAAACAAGACAAAGTGACTTCTGAAAAATGGAATTGTCTCCAAAAAGTGAGTCTCAGTTGATCCCAGAGTTATGGGATTGTTAGTGTGCAGTGAGTACATCCGCAATGCAGATAGAAATAATTACTGTAATTTACATATCAGACCTTTCGCCTCAGAGTGCCAGTGCACATTGTAATCATCAATTAATTTAATCTCATAACTATTGAGGAGAGCTGAGTGCTATTTCTCCAATTTTATTCCAGATTTCCGGATATTCTCCAATTTCCAGATATAAATGGGAAAAGTCAGAGGTTAATTTCCCAGAAATGCAAAGCATTTGAAAGCGTAACACACATTCATTTCAGGATGTGCTCATTGCCATAAGTTTTGAGTGGCACTGTCATTTGCTGCATCAAACTGATTAGTCAGGAATGTGTGTTGCCTTGATTTTCTAACTTTCTCCAAGAGGAAACATCTCCTTAGAATTGGGTTGTGAGTTTCAGCTCATCAAACGAGTCACCTTTACAGTGTAAATATCTGCATCTGGACTAATCACCTGGACACTCCTGACAGTCAGGGAAGAGTAAGACAACCGAGATGAATTCCACCCTGTGTGTCTGCACCACAAAAGCGGAATACCAAAACACAACCTACCCCAGCTGTGGTCATCCACTTACCCTTGATACACAGAAATTCACTGGAAAATATGACAAAACATATCCAGGGGATTTCCACACAGCCCTTGATGTTATCTCTACTGTTCTAATTCAGTTTCAGAATAAAGCACTCATTTGTGCTTTTTCTTGTGTCTACTTGCCTCTGCTTCAACCAGCTCAAAACAAAGAGATTTTAAACATATACTGGCTCCATGTGCCTATAAACTCATCATTTTCTCATTTTCATGATGCCTCTGATGTCCTGTGCTTATCTTCCATTTACTGTAGGCTTTTCTGGATTAACTTTATCTGCTGATGACATTTTCATCATTAAAGAATTAAAATAGAGATTTAGTCAATCTTTTATGCATTAGCAAGTATTTTTAAATAGTATATGTCTTTTTGGCTGGGGAAAAATAAATCACAATGTGATCTAGCTGAACTTTCTCTGGAGCTGAAAATATTGAGTTACACCCTGAATTACAGCATATATTGTAAATATCTGTTATTAAAAACATAATTTAAAATAAAAGCATATTTAAAAGATTAAGTTTAAGCTTAAAATAAAAGATTAAGCACACCTCTGGCAGCTATAATACAGATATTATTACAGACTGAGATTTCATTATTGACAAGAAGAAAAGAGATACAACTGCTGTGTTTGCTGCTGGACTTCGGTGAGAGCTTCATTTGAAGTTTACTGTTAACTCAAAAAGAATATACTGTGAAATTGGGAATGTCAGCACTTTGCAGAGCATGGCCAGACTTCTGCATTTCTACAGATAAATCCATCTTCAAGACAAAGAAGGCAAGCATAAAGGAGGAGCCTTAGGGACTAGAAATTTTCAGGAAGCTGTATTTGTGACCCTCATCTTTTGCAAAGCCTCAGGGAATAGAAGAACATGATGCCCTAGGAGCTGGCTCAACAGTGGGAGCAAACGAAGATGCACCTAGACCAGCATGATAGTGGGAAAACAGTGAAGCAGAAACCTCATTGCACTGCAAAATGCAGTCACAGGTACCTTGGGAAGTTGGCTAAAGCTGGAAATGCTGTGTCATCACTTCAGCACATGAAAATGTGGAAAATACAACAGAGTTCTGTACGTTAAAGATCATACAGCTCCTGATCCCAGCTGATGGCAAGTTTCTCTTCTGGGAGGGGAAAGTGAGCTTGTATCAGAGGACAGACATGTGACAGTGATATAGCTCAACATTGTGGATGGAAGTCAACTTACAGTGTGCAGGTGCGCAAACCAACCAAATCCTCAGAAAAAATCTTACCACTCTGAGGAGAATTCGGTGTATCATGGTGCTCAGGGTGGAAAGCTGGTGCAGCCCCTTTGCAGAGGAGATGAGCAAAGATAAAGCTCTG